TGAACTACTGACAACTAAAACCTTACAGAAGTAGCCAAATATTTCATGACAGCTTTATGATTGTTGCTGTGGAGAACCTTTAAATACGATAACTGTCATATTAAATTTTGTGGTATAGCGTAAGAGAAACTCATTTAGCTAATTTTCAAACCAAAATAATTTGGAGTTAAAAGAGACCAGCGACTTTAATGTATTTTTTGTTGTTGTTGTCATTGTTCAAATGCCTTATTTCGAAAGCGTTATAAAAGCCTTCTGTACTATCAAGAAACTGTCCAACAGTTTTTCAAATATGCCTGTTATATGAACTAAGGTTTTAATAAGGCCTGATAAAACATTCGCCACTGCCAAATAAAACTTAGCATGTATGTGTACATAACTAAGTGCTCCGCAGTAGCACAGAGGTATGTCTGCGGACTTACAACGCTACAAACCAGGTTTCGATACCCGTGGTGAGAAGAGTACAGATAACCCATTGTGTAGCTTTGTGCTTAATTAGAAACAAACATGACTAAATAATATTTATTTCACATTCTATAATTACCTCACATGTCTTCCAGGTTTAAATGACGAGATTAAAGTAAAACACAAATAATAAATAGAAATGAAAATAAACCTAAAATAGTCTAAAAAATATGAGTTTAAAGTATGGCAATGCACGATTGACATATACAATGAAGAACCTAAATTAAAACACAACACTGTACAACCGGTCTTTGCCCCTTCAAAGGAGTAACTAATCACTCTGAAAAATAACAAACTGCTCTCACAATCCACACTTTTCCTATAACTGACCAATAGCAATTTGAATTGCAAGAATATAGAAATGAATTTGCTCCATGTGACAGTTACGTATGACATTGTTCCGATTAATTGGGTTTGGAATTAAAAGTTTAGCAAAGATTTGAAAACGTCATCATTATATATTGTACAGAAATACCACAACCCTCTTTTCTTTTACTATAGGCTTGTCCTCTAGCAAACGTTTTTTTGTTTGTTTGTTCGTTCGTTTGTTTTTTAAATTTATTACCAATATCAAAATTTAAAACATGATCTGACTAAATCACGTGAGAATTAAGTTCTTGATTAAATTGTACATTAATGTTATGGAACAGCTTGGGAGGCACAACAAGGTAGTGCACTGAAAATACTACGTGTAAGCAAAACTAACAGGTAAGACAAACTATGTCTACTAACACACATATAGCTAGCGACACACAAAAGCAACAAAAAACCTTTAAAAATAAAACATTACAAATAAATCCTTTAAATATAAAACATAACAAAATAAACCCTTTAAATATAATTGTACATATAAAATGAACTATTTGAATCATGCAAAAATACAAAATAAAACACTATACATAGCGATAGACTGACAAAATATGCGAAAATTGATTATTTATTAAACATACTACATCACAAAAAATAGCCCTTGAAATACGCAATAAAATGTCTGTATCCTAGCAATAATGATAATAGTTAAAATAGCATGTCAACTATCCTTTATTACAACAGCTCCTGTAACAGACAATAGTTTACCACACACATTATGATAATCATTAAATACAGTATTTTTTTTTTTTACAAAAGCAACAAAAACTGAAAGAATAATAAAAATGTTTTTATGATAATTGAAAATATTAAGTACATAAAATACATAGCACAGACAGCTAAATAATAAGAACTCCTAATGGCGAAATTTATACTCATCGGCTGACCATACTAGAGATAATAATATTTTTAAAAAATTAAATAAAACAGTGTTTAATAAATTGAATTTACAGACACACACACACACACAGTGGCACAGCGGTCTGTCTACGGACTTACAAAGCTAGAATTCGGGTTTCGATACTCATGATGGGCAGAGCACAGATAGCCCACTGTGTAGCTTTGTGCATAATTACAAACAAACAATAAATAAATATATGAATAAAAAAGTCATTAGAGTGAAAATTTACTGTAAAAAGGACATAACGAAATTAAAATCACAAACAGATTCCGGGCTTATAGATCAACTAAAATTAAAAGTATGAAAATGACATCAAAGTGGTTTAAGGACAGAACTCGATTAAATTACATGGATAAATAGTTTATAATCAAAATGGCACAAACAGAAAGTTTGCACCAATTTAATAATGTCATCCCCATCAAAATGAAATGAAACCAAACAAGACCTGCACTTTACAACTGAGAGCATATAATCAGATAAACACATTTTAAGTTAAACTCTTTATATAAGATATACATACTTTGGAGCATATATAAATAGTATATATATATATATATATAATATATATATGATTAAAAAAGCAAAAGAAATCCTGAGAGTGTGTAAAAAATGTTCAGTAGAATACTACTTATGTACCAAAGCAAACACAAAAATCAACTAAACCCTTTAGAAAACTAGTTAAGGCATATGTTAAAGCAAAAAAATAGGTCAAAAGAATAATAATATTTTGCTCCCCGCATTGAGATCAATACATAATAAACCAAACCCGAAAATGCCGTTGTTGGCGAAAATGCCGTGACTCTGCCACTCTTGAAGTTGCCGTTGCCATATTAATTTCATACTGTGAAGGCTGACCAGTTTTGCTAGTGTAGTATTATCCTTTTGTAACTCATTTTCTACAATAGTTCTTTTACATTTTAGCAAACCTGCGTGTTTTACTTAATGTACTTTTATGAATGTTAACATGTTAAACATACACAGATTTTAGTTCGTAGGAGGTTATGCCACAATGATAGCAAACAGTCGCAATGATAGTTGTTCCAATTGTCAGCTATTCACTATACCATACTGCACGTATGTACATAAAACAACCAATACTGTATCGTAAAATATACAATTGAATGAATTAGAAATTTTCCAGAAGATAAAACAGTAATTATATGATGTTACTCTGTACTTTTCTTTATGATAGAACACCTAAACATCTTCCTGGTTGATACACCAAATATTCCCTACAGTGTTTGTAATGTTCTAGGTACTCTAGCTATCGTTAACAGCATGTCAGCCACTAACATTCTAAGTTCTCTAGCAATCATTACTTATTGTTCTTAGTGTTACGTCTCCGTTCGTTAGCTAATTTTCCGTAAATTCGTTCCGACGAAACGTTAGCGACACAAGTCCTTTCT